CTTCCTGGTCGCCCGTGGGTGTCCATTGAACCTGTGTCAGTGGGTGCAAAGATGGACGTCCTGCCGGTCAATTCGCTTCCAGTTTAATGGATGCATCTCTAAGGCCTACTATGTCAGCAAAGGGGTGCCTCAGGACTCGCCTCTCTCTCCTTTTCTCTTTGGGGCCTACGTGGCGGATATATTCACACCGCGAATGCGCTACTCCCCTGGAGTCCGACAATTGGTGATCTCATATGTGGATGACGGGGTCATCATGGTGGCTGCAGATTCTTGCAACACTGCCCAGTACCATGCGGGGGAAATTTTTGCAGACTGCAATCGCATAGCAAGGGCTAGGGGGATGGGGTTTAGTGCCCTCAAGACCCAGTGGATTGGGTTTGGGGACAGGGCGTGGGGAGGTATGCAGTTGTTGGGAGAGGTGGTTTTGCCTTCTGAGGATTTACGGGTTCTTGGGTATACGTTTAATGTATTTCTTAACTTTTCTGCTCATGTAAAGTATTGGTTGGAAAGATGGTTGGGTGTTAGGAGAAGAATTTCGGCATTGGGAAGGAGGTTTGGGAGCATTGGATGGCTTGGGGCATGGGAGACTTACCGCTTGGTGCAGGCAGCATACCTTCCGACTGTATATTACGGGCTTGAGTTTGTAACCGACCATGGGTCGTATGTGAAACAGATTCAGGTCCACGTCAACGACTGCCTCTGATCAGTCTTCCGGACCCCTATGAGGCTGGCAAACAATATACTACTGGCTGAGTTCGGAACACCCCCTGTTGCCATCCAAGGAAGGTATCTGCAGAGGAGGTGCTACAGCCGATTTATTAACTACCGGTACTGTGATCGACACCCGTGGTTCAGTGAGATACAGCATGACTGGAAGCAGGAAGGAATGGTGGCACACCGACAGAACTCAGACAAGGAGCTCACCTGCCGCCCCATGATTACGATTGGGAAGGACAAGGTGGTGATGGCTGCATGCCACCGTTCGCTGTACATAGATCTCTGCAAGTCCTCGGATGTGGTCATATACACGGATGGGTCCAAGTCCTCTGAAGAGGCCAGTGTGGCATGGGCAGTATTTGAAAAAGGAGCCCTGACCTGTGTCGACGGGTGCTCGGTTCCCCCGTCTTAGAGCATTGTTGAATGCAAGCTGTTTGCAGTTGTTTGTGCACTCCGATATGCCCGAATGATGGCCAAGAGGTGCCCAGTCCATGTGTTTCTGGACTGTGTGCCCGCCCTCACCCTGGTAGACGGGATGTTTCCGGAAGGAGATTCGGCTGAAATGTGGGAAGCTATGGCGCCATTGTTCAATGAGTTCAGCCATGTCAACATTAGCTGGGTTCTGGGACACATGGGCATTGACGGCAATGAGATGGTGGATAAAAAGGCTAAGGCCTGCGTGGGGCGCCCATTGCGGCCGCTGAGTTGGGAAGGGGTAAGCTTTGGGATCGGGCATGCGGCATTGGCCCGAGAATTGCAAAAAGCAGAGTGGGGTTCATGGCACGACAGGGAGGGACACAGGTATTATGCTCATGAACCTAGGGCACCTCGACACCTTCGAGGCCTCACCCGTATGGACTCCTATGTTTTACTGAGAATTCGCAGTGGGACCGGTTTGGTTGGGCATGACAGCTGTGCAGGGATGGATGATAGACACTACTGGACTAAGTGCCCCCGCTATGCTATAGGGCGGCCCACTGACGAGGACTTGTACAAGGATTCAACGATATTGCGGTGGAAGTCCTGGTGGGTGAGCCACAGGTGGTTAGGCCTAGGAATTCCCCGGCATGTTGAAATGGTAGATGGGGAGTTGGTAGTGGCAGGTAACCCCTTTGACGGCACACTGATGGTGGAAAGAAGTGGTTAGTTGGCGACGGTACGGGACCCCACGACTTGCACCCAGTGTGAGAAAAAGCATGATGGCAGTGGATGCATTCTACCGAGGTTGGTAACCATGCCAAAGAAGTGGTTTTTCTTGCCCGACCAGCGACGCTGCGATTGTCCCTGCTGTGGGACTGCGATTTCGGCGACGGCCACCCAGAAACGAGTCACCTTCACCGAACACTTTGAGAAAAAGCCCCGCTGTTTACGAACGTGTCACGATCGGTTTTGGCATTCTCGGCACCAGCAATGGGGCGAGCTGCACCTCGCGACTTGGACATCGGTGGTTTTGCGGTGGGCTAAGACAAAAGGGTTGTTGAAAGAGGAGCGTTGTTCATTTTGTGGGATGGTTTTGGCCAAGGGATACGTGGACCTGGGACTACACTATAAAAGGACGGAGGGATGTTGGGATAGACTGTATGTTTCCTTTGTTGAGTAGGTGGGACAGATTGTGTTGGAGGCGGATAGGGGTGAGGGTATGAGACGGTGGCTGGGTGGCAAGGTGGGAAGACGCATTAATCCGGGACAGTACTAGTTGCTGCGAGCGCCCGTGAGCCCATTTAGGTAGTGATTTTGGGATTTATGTTTGGGGGGAGTGATTGCGAGGCGGAATGGTCCGCGGTAGTGTATTTTAGATAGTTTTTGTTTTATGGGGCGTGGGGGAGACTGGTCGTATGGCGGTGTCGGCAGTACTAGTATAAATAAAATTAGATTGAATTCTAAGTACTTTTCCTACTTATTACTTTAACGAATATAAAACCCTTTACGATCTTTATCCTTATTGCAACGTTATCGTTACGCCAAGGAAGGCGCTTTACGAAGAAGAGTTAGAGAAAGCTTACAATAGGCGTTCCCGGTAGAAGACAAGGGTCTTGTACTATCGGTAACGTAGGCAGAGGCCTAGAGCTATCGTAAGACAAAGGAAGAAGAAGACAGGGAGAAAAGTATCGTTCCCCGTCGCCAAGCACTAACTATCCAGAGAGGGATCGTTACACCATAGTACTTACAACATGATTGCCAAAAAGAAATAAGATGCAGAGACATTATTCTTCTAACATATTCCACTGAATCCACCTTTACCTTTCCTAGTATAAAGACAAGCTTTAACTTCATGATCCTATAAAATCTACACTAAACTATCCTTATCTCCCAACCTGATTCAAAGATTTGTTCGATGCAATTAATGTGGTACTCTTTATTGACTTTTCAAGTAACCCAAGACCTACTCCCAAAGCCAGCCATTGAAAATGATGACTAATTTTTCCATAGGACTCTCAGCCAATCCTTATATTCTCACCTCAAATGCTCATAGCACCAGGTAACACAGATAAGACAATTTGCGGGACGAATGGCAAATTTCCTTTGAAGCACATTCTGATGGTATCCTAACAACTCCATCATGCTTCGAATTGTCAATGGGCTACATGCATAGCCCATTTCCAAACCAACTTCATCCTAGGTAAGGTGTCGTGTACAAGTATCAAGCATTATAAAGGCCTCTAACCTTTACTTCTCCTCCGCATGGAAAATTGGAGGCCTGTCTGAATGGCTGGCATTCAACAGGGTTCCAGTTTCTTTTGTTCATTTTTTTAAATCTACTTATTGTATTGTATTAGTAATAATTAAAATAAAAGCTAGGAGAATAAACTAACTTTCTAACAGGTTCTTCTACCTATATTGAGTTTCAGACTAATTTTTGTCTAATTCCATCCCACTGTATCACGAAGAGTGATAATCTTTATCCTCTCATCATAAGTTGTTTCCTGCTGGTATACTCCTTTGGGATTTTGATCACAAGTGCCTTTTTGCTGCATAATCCGAAAAGTTCACATATGACAAGTTGTAGAGGATGGAGGTGATAAGGTATGCTGTGAGAGAGATAAAGTGGTCTCATTGACCAGGATATAAGTTCTTGTACTACCGGGCTCCAAATACCCTTGCACCCGAGTACAGTACTCGGGGTGGGGGTGAAGTATTGGGACAAGCAGGGGGGCTTGATGTCTCTGTGAATTACTTGAAGTGGGATTGAAGATACTAATTTGAGTAATTTGCACAGACATAGAACCCCCCTGCTCGTCCCAATACTGTACTTTCCCCCTACCCCTAGTACTAGTACATGGTACACCAAGTAATAAGACTTTCCTTGAGAGTGCAAGGACCCATTGATACAAATTTCGCGAATTGATTTTTCTTAGTTTCCTTTTCTTTTGAACCTACCGATTTCGACTTTTCCACATTCCTTTTTCCAGACCGAATTACCTTTTTCTCAGCACTCATGAACAACACCCCATTGCCCATTATCCTGGATCGTCAAAATCCAGAATGCGCATTGTAGACGGTGAGAGTGAGACAACGATCCAAAATTTCCCCCGGGGCTTAGAATAGTGGGATAGTCAGGCTTTTCAAATGGATAGGCACTGACGTCTCAGACCTCTTTTTTCTTTCTGGAACGCAATTTCCTAGTTCAATCTGAGCCTCTGCCATCATAGTGTCAAGAGAAGAGATGAAGCTTGCGAAAATTGGCTATGATACTGACAAACTGACCACCTTTGGGGGGATGATAAGCAGCCACAGCCCTTAACTGCCGGCATTCCGTAAGGTCTGAGTGAGGAGTACTTTACTCGTACAGTGGGAATTACAATGAACAGTCTGTCTAATACTCACGACAACATTTTCCTTTCCTATTACTGGGTCCTCCTAATGATGATGCCACCTGCAAAGCCCTCAGAGGGGAGCAGAAATGTTGATGTTCCTCTTTGAGGCTGAGATGTCGACCGATGGGAACCAGACTTCCCCCTCAAAAGGTGCCGATACCCCTAATACCGGTACTTAGAGTAGGCTACGGGTACTCGAGCGCTGTACTATCATAGTACTGGTGTCATGCCGGTAATGACCTCGAGGGCCTCTCACAGGAGGGTAACCTGGCGCTCAACGGGAAATTTTCATGAACCACAAAATGTTGGGTTTAGGTTGCAGATGTGCCCTCTGGCCGTGCTGTGCCTCTTCTCTGAGAGGCGCACCCCCCAAAAAGACTCCTTCCTCTTCTCCCGCTCATCCAGTTTTCCATTCCCCTCTCCCCCTCACTCGCTCGTATTCTTTCGTTCCCCCCCGGGTGTTTCCCTCGTTCCAGTACTATAGATTATTTCTCTTATCCCTCCCCCTTCCCTTCCATCTCCTCGTTCACCCAACCGCTCATTGCTATCGCCACCGCAGCCTTCGTTTTTCTGTGCTCGGTACTGTCATTCCGTCACTCTCTATTCCGTCATTCCTGTTTCGCGCGCCTACAACTACTCTTGGTATGTCATTTCCATGCTTGTCCTCCATCCCCTTTCTCTTTTGGCCAAGCTTCTTTTCCCCCAGCCTTCCCCAATTTGGGTTCAATATGGACGAGTCCTTGATTCGTGGGGAGTCTGTTTACTGATTGTTACTTCTTCCCTCCAGCAGTTACATACCCTTCCCACTCTCGTTCAAGTTGCTTCTTATCCGCTCACGCGCACTCGTACCCCAAAATAAATATTCGGGTTGTCATTGTCGCTCTTTCAACGCTTTTTTAGTTCTGCTATCCCTTGTGTTGTCCACTCTTAACAACACAGATCCCTTTTTTTTCCCTTTTCTGTCGGAAGTTATTTGGCGTTCCTGCTAAAAAGGAAAAAAGAAAGAAAGCTGGCCGAGTTTGGAGCCAACGGCGTGGGTGCTTTTAGCGGTTACTGTACTGTATTTCAGGGTTGTATTGTGGCAGACTGCGCCTCGCTTCGCTACCGCTTCAGCTTTGTCACCCTTCGCCAGCACAGAACAGAAATTACGTTCCCTTATTCAAAGATACCGTCGTGAGAATAATCTATCATGCGGTGGAACACTTCGTTACTCTTGTGCCTCTTACTAGCGCTGCTCGCCACCACCGTCCTGTCGCAAGACTCTAATACGGAGAATCCTCCTGCGTCGACAAATAAACCTCCGGAGACATCAAAGCCGCCTGATCCGACAACAAAAGAAACACTCAAGGAAACATCTAAGGAATCCCCAACAAAGGAGGATGACAACAAAACTTCCGATATTGTAGGATCTACGGTGCCCGCGCGCATTACTGCGAGCAGTACCTCCGGGGCCCAAGACACGGGCACGTTTCCCACCATCGGAACTCGGATTCCATCAATTTCAGGGGGCATTGCAGCAGTCACGCCCACTGTTACTGTTCCACCCACTGCAAACGCACCTTTCATGCAAAAGTCCTCGCTACCTGAGGGAACTGTATTCATTGCTGTGGGATCTGCGTTGGGACTATTCGCCCTGTCGGTCATTCTTTGGAGATGTCTTGTCGCCTGGTCACTCCATCGTTCAGTCAAGCGTGCAGCGATGAATGCTAATCTCTCAGACACCAAGGCCCTGATTCGCCCGCCCCCCAACAGTGGAAGCAATGGGTTCTATGCAGCAGGTCCTGGCTCCACCCTATCACTCGACCACCTAGGTGCACCACCCCGTCCAGGAACCAACCCGAACCGCCAACAAAACCCCACCAGCTTATTCTTTTCTCCAACCGCTGGAGCAGGAAATACGGGTGGAGACAGACGGTCCCAATACCTTCCTCCAGGACACTATGCTGTTGGAGCCCGCGACAGCGTGGCTGGGTTGGCTGGTCTTCCAAATTCATCACACACGCATCTCGCAACCCACAGTGTCTCCTCAAATCGCTACAACCCCAACCGAGGCATCGGAATTTCACCACCAGGCTCACCACTCATCGGTCCTACTGGCCCCGCTACTCGCGGCGGCAGTAGCCACAGCGGTGGCCAGCAGTTGGGCGGCCTCAGAGGCAGCGAAAGCCACACATCCCTCAATCTACCGCCCACAGGCAGAGCTCCAAGTGCATACCTCGAAGACCTCTTTGAGAACCACCGACAAAAGAACCCTGGAAACAGCGGTCGGCATTAACCATGCTCGTGTCATAATTAGCTGGAAGTCAAAGGAACTGAATTTGACCACCCTTTTTTCTCTTCCTACTATATAAAAAAACACAACTTCACCTCCCATATATGGCCTGTTTTGTTTGTGTTGCGCTACAAGATTATTCTTTCTTCTTTTAGTCATTGCTATGGGCTGGGCGCTTCAATTGATTTTTTTTTCTTTTTTTTTTTTCTTTTTTCCACATCCTTACCTTTCTTCTGTGCTTGTTTATTTAAATTTGCAGATAATAGTCAGCAGGGTGGATGCTGGGAGATCTTGTCACATTTTTTATATGTATGTAGTTAGGAGGTCAGTTTTGTGGGATTTTAATTCTTAGAAAGACGAGTCAAGCAATCCAAGGTTGCTAGGATGTTTATTTCCTTTCTTTAATTTACTTGCTCACTTTGGAATACAGTGTTTGAGAAACAAAGCAATGGTAATATTATCGCAGCTCTATTGAGGTTTTAGGTATTCTTAAGTTCGCAGGGTGTTTCGTATCACGCAGATAATCCTGGACTAGTACAATTACGAGTACTCGAGTGCACCATAGCAGAATACCACCATATCACCGTATCACCACCTGCACCTACCCACCCACCTCTGCACCCTACCCTCTTTGGTGTCCGAGACAGTAACCAGATCATGCGAAAATCAGCCTTTCCAACCAACCACTATTTCGTGAACTCGCCTAAAGTGGTTTTTAAAATAATAGTCAAGTGGTGAATATAGGATGCGATTTTTATCAAATTTTTTCTTAACCTCAGATATACGATGTGCCGGGTAATTCGAAATGGTCACAGTACAGCATCTGTTGAAAGAGCTCGTTGACCAGCATTTTGGATTTACCATCACTCAGCACATTAACGCCGTTACTATGAGCAGGCGGAAGGGTCAAAAGGGCCAGTTTTCTCAGTGGTCTCACTGGTCTCACTGGAGGTATATTTTCTCCTGTTTCCCGAACTAAATCTTTGCAATATTTTCGCCAATGCCCGCTGCATGCCGTTATTGTGAGAACCCCAATATTTGGTTTGATCCGGCCCCAGTAGCTCTGCATACCTAGGATCACTGAGCGAGTGACAACTCATGACTACTTGATTTTTCTACAAAATGAGAATTGCTAGTACGATCCCTGTTTTTATGAGTGACGGGACGAAACATGTCGTTTTGGGTTGAGTTAAGGGAACGGTAGCCATGAGTGTACTTATTGCATGGTATTATATAATACAGTGGGAAGAAAAGACCATACAAAAGTATGGATGATGCCGAAGAGAAAAGAAGGGAAAAGAGGTAAATTTTTTTTTTATCAACCACAGATTGGGTGGTTACAAGCATTTCTTGTTAGGGACTACGTTGTGGTTCCTCTGCTTGTTGGTTAGTTCGTTGGCTAGTTGGGTTCCTATCCCGTAGGGAGAAAAGGAAGTAAAAGGGGGAAAGAAAGAAATCGGTATCTTAATACGAGGGAAAAGGGAAGAAGTGAAGTGAAAATTCAAGTATGAAAGGAAAGAAAGGAAAATTTAGAAGAACAATAGAATAACTAGAAATTTAGTACTCGAGGGGGTTTTTTTATTTTTATTTTTATTTTGGGATTTTGTGGCTCCTCTCATCAACAAAAAGAAAAGAGAAAATAGGGGAATTTTTTTTTAGAATTTAAACATTAATGCAACAAAAGCTCCACAATCCTTTCCGCCTCCATATCCGATATATTCCTACCTCTGCGGACACCGGCGTGCTCGAGCGCGCGCACGATGCTCGGTATGGGGAAGCCCATGGGCGTAAACCGCTCAATGACGATGGGTGGGAAGCCAGAGTACTCTTGTAGTCTCCTCTGCTCCTCGCTGACCAGTGGTGCGGCAGATCGCGGGAGCTTTGCAGCATGGCTACCGGCGGGAGAAGCAGAGGAGGTGGCGGCAATGTTGCCAGCGGGATTGGTCGTAAGGTCGACTACTTCTGCTTCCGCTTTAGGCGCTCCGGCGAAGCGATGGGCCCATTCTTGAGCTTTGACTCGGAAGGCGCCGGGATTTTTGATCATTTGCTGCGCGACTTCTGCGTCTTGTGGGTCTGTGGGCTCTGGGGCGTCTAGAAGAGATTGTAGTGAGAGAAGGGCCGTCTTGATAGTCAGGACTGGGGACCATTTTTGCGAGAGGGTGTCGAGGCAGATAGCTCCCTGGATCCCAGGTTTTGGTATCGTTAGTCGTGCTTAGTTAGAAAATGGTGTAGGAGGAGGAGGAGGAGGAGGGAGGTACAGTTTGAGAAGAAACATTAGGATGCCAAATCTTTGTGATGAACTTCATGCGCGGTGGCATGAACGGGTAGTTGTCTGGGAGTTTGATGTCTACAACAAATTCCCCGCCTTCGTATGGAGTCCCGGGAGGCCCGGCGAAGCGACCCTGTAGGTGTGTCATATCCGCTTCGTCCAGGGGAGTGGCATGCATCCCACTGGTAGTATCCTTCGCCATGTCGTCTAGCTCTTTTAGAATTCGTCGGCGGGTGGCCATCTTTGCTGGCTCTAGGCGCAAGTGATTGGGAATTTGAAGCTATTTAAAGCTGTGGTGTGGGTGTCGTAACTGTTGAAAGTTGTCAAGGAGGGTGTGCAAGTGAATAGGGTCAAGGTGATTGTATATCTAGAGGCAGGAAGTAAGAGATGGGGGAGGGGGAGAGGAGGAAATGGGGGAGGAGAGTATTGGAAGATGGCTAAATATTATTCGATGAACTACCGCAGGGGCAGATATTGACGGGAAATGGAATCTGCAAGTACCAGTAGGATGGTACAATGCACCTTTGCGAGAGAAGATTGGCACTTCTTTCCCTTAACTCCTATTCTGTGGAACGGGTTGGTGGTGAAGCGCAAGTTGAAAATGTAAGAAGGTTACAATTGAGGGTGTGGGAATTGTGATATAGATGGGGCGGCTCTGTGACAGGCGGGGTCTATCACGGGATCTTATCTAATCTTGTAAGGTAACTTAATGCTTTCGAGTGAGGGATAATGATGGGTAGGTTGAGGAAGTTAATCACCTGCTACCTAAAGTGGACGTTATAGTGCGGTAGCCAAAGGGGTCTACAGATAGCTGAGGTAAGCTAGGTAAGGTTGAATCTTCGTTCACCATAGTTATTTTCTTACAAGCTTTCCTCTCTCCATAAGTATGTTTTCACATTCTCAAAGATCAGTAAGAAACGTTAGAAGAATTACGCGCTTTGGTGTGGGGTGTGGTGAGTTGGGGATGGGATAGCAGGGTGATGAGGTGAACAAATGCCAGAGGTTGGAACTGTGGGCCGATGCTATGCGCATACAATGAAAAAACGAAAAAAAAAACCAAAAACTAGGATTCTGGGGGACTGAAAGCGCAGAAACATGGAAAACAGGAGGCAGAACGAGTGACACTAAAATCAAAATGATAGCCTCTAGAAGAAGCTAGACACTTCTAAACGTCGGGAATCATTAGACGATAAATAAATCCAAGCTTATGCTTAGAAGAGTAAACCTCGTCCCTAATACCATGTCACTAGCATACATGCATTGTCCAAGAAATTTGTCCTGTGAGGTGATCAGAGTTGTGCCTTGGAAAACGAATGTAAGGTGGTCGCTTGTTTTTGGAATTAAGAATAACAAGCAGTCTAGATACTTTCGAGTTGGCTCTGGAGCTCCTCCAAATCGTGCGCAGCTTTTTTGCTCATTTCGACGGTCTCATCGTACTTCTTTTCGAGAGCATCTTTCTCGGCTTCAAGGGTAGCAACTTTGCGCTCGTAGTGCTCGGCCTTGACATCGGTGAGACGCAACCTGGAGGAAAAACATTTAATAAGCACTGTACAAGCACATAGCACTGGGGTAGGAGGAATGGGTAGAAAGAGGAATATAAGAACTATGGGGATAACATACTTCTCATTGGTCTCTCTAAGGTTCTTTTCTGCTTCTTCCGCCTCTTCCTCGAGCAACGCAACTTTTCTTTGCAGGTTTTGCATTTCCTGACTGTTGTTCGAACCAATAACATGAGCTTCCTTCTCTTCCTTGAGGCGTGTCTCGAGCTTTTCAACATCTGCTTCCAGAAGATTTTTTTGGTGGTTTAGGGAGGTGATTTCTTGCTCTTTTTGTAGATTTTCTTGCTCAAGGACTTTAATCCTAGCTTGGAGTTCGTCGTTCTTCGTCTGCACGTCATCTACCTCCGCACGGAGGGCGATCATTTTCTGAGCGTAGAGACATTAGTGTTTGAATTTTTGAATATCAGGAATAGAAGAAGCATAGATAGTTTTTATCATCTCAGGGGCAGCAGATGGGAATCATTTTGAAAAGCAGGAAAAATAGGTAGAAGTGGAGGAAATCCTTACCTCCTTAACTTTCTCCATCTTATGCAATAATAATGAGGGGTGGTATCAAGGAGGGGTATCGATAAAGAAGATCAAAGAGTTTGTGGGGATGACAGTGAATAATAAAGGAAGTAGTAGCGGTGGTATTGAGATGAGCAAGGGGGATGAAGTGAAGAGTAGAACGGTCCTCGAGTAGAGAAAGTCTAGAGGTGAGTTGGCAGCAGGATGGTAAAGACTTGTGCTGTTCGAGGTAAGTTAGTGGGGGGAAAGACTATGATCAGTGCTCACAGCTCGCTTCCGGGTTCTTGGCACGTAGGGGAGACATGATCCCTAAATTAGGCATGCACTGCTGACACCCATTGTATGGTTGCTGTGCCAACAAGCCACTTGGGTGCCATCTAGTGTCCTAGTCCCTTCCATGTTTACCGGAATTCTATCCAAAACTCCTTCCTTCGGCCTTCGCTAGACCTTTCATCAACCATACCCAATTGTCCACACAACCACACAATGCTTGCTGCTAACAAGGAGAATGATATCGTCGTTCATGGGTCACACTTGGGCAAGGTCAATGGCAAAACCCCCGGCCCTTCGAGGCTGCACCCAAAAACACCCTACAAAGTCCCTCTGAAGGACGAGAACGTTGTCGGGAAAACTGGCAAAAAAGCGCTGTTTGTTGGAAAAGATTCATCGTTGTTTATTACCCCGATTGGTGAGCTTAACATCCCACTCTCTATTATTTTAGCTTCGCAAACTCACAAGTTCGTGCATTAAGGTCCTAGAGGGGGCCCTAGAAGACCAGCTTTAACTGGTAAAACAACCAATGCAAAAGCAAGGATATTTACTCCCCCTGAAGGAAGGTCTGTCGACCAACGTCAGAAGCCCCTTGGAGGTCTATCGCGTCTAGTCACCTCTAAGAGATCTGTTTCGGACGATGTGCGTCCTGTTTTGAGTGATGGAGACTATCCGGAGGTTGAATACATGCCTCCGTGTCCTCCTGGTATTTCTTTCTTCGTCCAGGTATTCCTCTTAGTGCAAACGCTTACAATTGACAGAGCTTCCTGACATCCCTGATGACTTCTCGATTCCTGATTACGGCAGACTAAGCAGAAATATCTATCGAGAATGTCATCGGCAATTCCTCCTTGATATCGATGAGTTCGGGAAGACGAGTATCGAACGACAGCAGGAGGAAAGCGAGCGACAGATCGATGCTATGCTTGATGCAGAGACTGAGGAGCTATTGAAACCTCTTTCCCTGAAATGCAGAGATGCTACAAGGCCCAAGAGAATCATTACAGTTAGCTCGGATGCCTCTGACGCAATGGCCCGAGTGGAGGAAACTGTCGTAATAAAACCAACTACGACTAAAATGCCCATATCAAGGTCCACGCCGGCCTCGAGGCTGGCACCAGTGCTCAGCACTTCTTACTCCGCTACTCCGGGCAGCGGATTATCGACGAATATAGCTGCGAAATACACGGCCTTATCCTCCAAACCTTCAACCTCTTCATCTTCAAATGCTAGGCCCAAAACTGCTAGTAGAACTGTTAGTCACTCTCGGTCGGTCTCTACCTCCGCCATCAAGAAGCCCCTTTGCTTCCCGCATGGTTCCAAGGCGATGCCCCCTCCTCCTTGTCCCCAAACTAGAACACCCAATTCCGCGAATTACAGAGCTGCCATAGGGCAAACCAATGGGAAGAGGGTTAGAGAAGTGGAGGGGACGCCGACGACTGGCCTCAAGGAAACTGCCTTGGAAGCATGCCAAAGAGTTCTGCAGGAGGATGAAGATGATTTCTCTTCTATCACCCTCCCTTCAGTAGGTGTTGATGGGAGTGGAGATTATGAAGATCCAGTTGTCATGCCCCCGGTCGATGATATTGAGGAGGAGTTTTATATGCAGGTTCCGGAATAGGTAGAAAGGGTTGTGGGATTTCTACTGGAGTTTGGTGGACTATGCACCAATGGGAAACCGAGCTATTCTGGCGGGTAATTTGACCGAATAGTGAGTAGGTATTCGTATTAGAGAGAGTTCAAGCATGGTTGTTTTTCACTCGGTTTCTCTACCAAGTTTGTGATGGATTTAGGTTACTCTATGAAATCGCATTGCAAGGCTATGGGGAGCGTAAATTCTTGGTTCCATCAGTTCAAAGGAGGTAATAAAATTCTAAAATGTGTACCGCTCTATCGAGACCTAAAATTAGGTCCTATAAACGTGACCCAGGATGCGTCTGTCTTGCGCTCGGGCGATAACAGCCTACGAGTACCTTAATGGTTTCTCTTCAACATGCAGGCTGTCAACTACCGGTACCATAAGATCTCGGATATGAGAGAATCGCGCTGACGTAGACCATGGCGATGTGACACAACACTAGGATATGACAATTGCCTTGGCGCCATGTGAGGCATATTATCCTGGAAGTATGATGAAAATAGAGAAATCTGTGATACAAACATCAACAAGGGGGGAAAGTAAGTACCATTTAGGCCTCCGAATATAAGGAAAGGCTCCAACAAGTTATTAAGGAAAGGAAATGACTGCGAAACAGCATTTCAGTTCTGGATGTAGTAGAAGAGTTTCAGGTAGGCTAAATATGTATCATAGACTGAGGAGATTGTAGTTATGTGTTGATATTAAACCCAAGATTAAAATAAAGTGAATTTCCACCATGCTGGAGAAATACTCTGTCTCCGCATCAGCAAAAAAAAAGTTACCTGCGTCCTGTGCGTTACATGCATCTGATGCATGGGACGCTCAAAATGCTAATTGTTAATTAGGACGTGATGTCAGCTAGACATCATGTCCTAGTTTTTTTGCATGACACTTTATATCCCCACAATGCCCTGACACTAACCCTTATGTTCTGTGCATCCTGTGAATGACTGATTCTTGGCTGTTGCATCCACACTATTGATCTTACCAGCTACTATTCTACCCAGATGATACCCTCACGCTCCTCTCTCATTCTGAGTAAGTATTTGACTTGCATGCTGTGTCTAAACATTCCTTCTTTGCTTGCTCATGTCCAGATAACCTCCTTACTTGCCCTATGGCATCATGATTCTCTGATGCTAAAAGCCGCCATTTTGAGCATTGTATGGTATCAACCCATTTGTGTTCTGATTCTCTCAGCATAGTATTTCTGGCATTATGAGCCTTACTAGGTATAGCTCTTGTCTCCAGAGTTTACTTTGACCTAGTGCTCTTGTTCTGTGCACTCTATCTGGAGTCTGGAGATCTGCAAGATCTGGTCAGACATATGACGAAATATTTCTAATTCTGTTGGTAGATTATGCTCCTTCTATAGAGGTTGTCCAGATATCTTCCTCATAGCTGCCTTTTATATATTGTAATTGTACTCCTAGGTGTATCTCCTTCATATTACAATTTATGAAATCTATTGCTAGCTGTAATGCTTATATTTACATACTACTCTTTGCAACTCAACTTCCTACCCAATTTCCTACTTGCGAGCTCCCATTAGCCTTCTACTTGTTAATATCCTACTGACACTCACAAATGAGAGTAGGTGATATGGTGCCTTCCTCAGATTCTTCCACGCTAATTGGCAGGTAATGAGATCAAGAACCACTCATAATTCTGTACGATATTGGTTCCATAGTCTGCTCGCATGTATCATCCTTACTAGAGGATTCTGATTTAAGAATTCCTAGGATCTCAGCAAATGATGTCTGGCTGTAATTGAAGGAGATGTCTGTTTCTTATAAATTATTTACACCTTCCCATGCTTGCTAGAAGCCCGAGATACGCACATTAGCCCATTAGCAGACAGTGTTAGGCAGGGATAACCTGTAACAGTTCAGAGTTGTCTAAGCCAACCAAGATTCATTTCTGTAGACGGAGATTGTCAATGAAGGCTCAAAATATATACTCAGTTCGTTTATGACTAATGAGAGCAAACTGAAGTAGGTAAAGTAGAATGAAATCGTAAAACAATAATTTATTGTTAAGGTCTCTTCTCTATTGCTTGATTATGTCTAAAAGCTAGGGAGGGAGTTGAATATTTATATTCTGTGTCTGAGTGTTTGCAGACTACATCTATCTTTTATACAACTATGTAGTGCTCTGGTTATAAGCTTGCAACGTCGGGTATTTTTCAAAGGTGCGAACACCTGGAGACCCTGAAAATCAATACACTCTTTTTGGTAATTACAATATTGTTAACTACGAACTATACTGTTTTCAATAGTAATTTTCCAATCTTCAGAGTCATTAGACTTATCGGATAGTTTTCAAGTTGATCTGAGTTGACCGCATTTTTCTCTCTTATCGATAAAATAATCAGTTTCATCTGCAGGTTGTATCTGTGGAGGTAGTCATAATTTCAATTTTCCTACGTTGTGTGACTTTAAATCTTCATAACTCTGAATCCAACTAACAGATATCTTCCGGATGACTTTCTATTAGTTTCAAGAAAGCTATTGTACTGGACTGGTAGATAATCCCATGGTCGGCAACCCTTAATTGCTTAAGGTAACTTGGTATCAATTGCTGTTAGTATTCAGAACTATGTGTGCAACTATAACCTATTCCCTGACCCAGTTGTAATACTCAGTGAAGATTATTGACTTCTGTGGTAGTGTTCCTGGGAGTTCTAGACTCTTCTAGTTATCATAAAGTGAGTGTGAATGTATTGGTTTCTGGTTGAGATCCTTCAACATTTGATATCATATTTTTGTAAGAAAACATCCTATTACCAATGGCTCTTATCAAGTTTGTCACAATGTTGAATCCTAGTAATCCCTAGGGTAGTTGACAGATTTACTCTGTTCTACTTCCCAGGCTTAGCTGAAGGTCCCCTCTCACATATCCTGTAGATAGCATCTGGTCCGAAGGATGGCAGCTACGTATAAGGTGTTATTCCTATACCTTCAATTCTGTTACATTTTAGCTACCGGACGTGACTGATATAAATATGTATGATGATATGGAGGCCTCGTAATGGGGCTGGAGGAGGGTACTGGAGACTAGAAATTTTGATTCTGAGTGGGGTTAACCTACTTATGGTGGCTTCTTGGGTATTGGATTCCAGTACTCCTAACAGACAGGCTTAGATAGTAGCAGGTTGGTAGTCCGATACTGGAACTCTGCTCCTAGTGCCTCCCAATAATAATCATATTATTCGTACTGCTCTTGTTACATCCTGTGTACCTGCTAAAACACATTCTTTATTGCACCACATATACTTCCCAGAATCTTTTCCTGGATTCCTGGTAGGCAGTTGGCTTATGTTTTT